CTACAACTGATTAGCTTTCAAATAAAAAAAAAATTATTAAAATCTATTGAAAATTGACAGACTTTTGTATATCTAGAAAAATGCCAATTTTACTGAAAATTACTAATAAACTTGAAAAATAATAGTAAAATATAGTAAAATAGGCATTTTTTAAGATATATACAAGTCTGTCAAATTTTAACAGATTATAATAATTATTTTTTTATTTGAAAGATAATCAATTGTAGTTGTTAAAAATGCAAATAAAAATGGTTGACATATTTGAAATTTTAAAAGTTATCTATGTGCAAATAAATATATAAAATAACCTCAAAAAGTTATCATATTTTATAATCAGATAATTTTTTTTATATCTTATAAACATTTTTTTTATTTAAAATATAAAATCTACGAAGGATTATCTTTCAAATAAAAAAAAAATTGAGTGATTTCATCAAAAACTTATGTATTTTTATGCAATGTGAAAATTACCAAGCATTTTTAGAGAAATCTGGTAATTTATTGTAGGCTTGTGTATATATTGTTCGGGGTCCTTGTATGTCCTCCCTGACTACGAATCCAGGCTTGACATTTTGCTGCTACATCTTCATCATCATCAACTAATCGAATAATTTTTTGATGTTTACCTTGGAAGGTTGATGGCAGTTGAAAATATTGAAGCCAATATTTTGCCTAAACTCTAATACATCGTGCTTTATATAAACGACTTTTAATAAAGACTAATTCTGCAGCTTCAACACTTGCTTTTATTAATCCTTTTTCATTTTCTTTAAATTTAATTCATTTTAACATTTCAAATATTACTCTTTTTTTATTATATTCAATTACTGACATTTTGTATTGATCTCTTCTTAATTCTTCCTTTAAATCTTCAATTTTAATTTCAACTCCTTTAAAATTCCATCCATCATCTTCTGTAAGAATTTCTATTTCTTTATTTTTTGGGCGAAAAAAACTCGTTAATTTTGATGTGCCCTCTGCAGCTTTAGTCTATTTTCCACTTGGTCCATAATTATCATAAAATGTAGATTTTTTAGTTGATCCAGTTAGATATGGTCCACGTGTTTTTTTTTCCAAGTAAGCATCTTTCTTCCATATTAATTCTAATTCCAAAAGCCTTTTATAATTAGCTTCTGATAACGTTAGATCTATATCTTCTTCCCATTCACTATCATCATCATTACCCCAATCTTTTTCTAAAAAATTTTCAATTTCTCTTATTTCTTTCTTAAAATTTGTTTCATTATGATTTTCAGCAGTAAAAATACCATTGGCAGTACAAGATTTAGTTAAAGCAATGTGGTGTTTTTTTGATGAATGTGTCATTTTGTTTTAAAAAGAAAAAATTTGCAATCGATTAAAAAAAAAGAGATGCAATGTGTTTCATAACATTTCACGTGATTTACTAATTTTGGCCAGAATTACGAAATCTGAACTAATTCTGGCCAAAATTATGATTCTGAATTTCTGGCTTTACTAATAAATTGACCTAACTTCAAAACTTTATAACTATTGACAGATTTGTTATCGGAAAAAAGTAAACTACAACAACTGTTCTTTGTGTCTTAAAGTTTCATATTTGTGATTTAGATTTTTTATATCATTTGAATTTTAAGGGTTATAAAATTTTAAAAAAGGGTAAAATCGATGTAGAGTATAGGTGACGCGTACTGTATTAACGTTTTTTTTTATTGTCTTTTATAAGGAATCAGTTCTACCATTTTCCCAGGTAATGTTTCGATAGATTTTTGAAACTTACTTAAAAAAACGTTTTTAGCTAAAAAATGATTTTTTATATTTTTTTTTATAGAAAATCAGTTCCAGTGTGGATACCGATATTTCAGGTAAGTTTCAAAAAATTTTTGAAACTTCATTTTTTTTATTAAAAGAAATGGTTAACCAACCATTTTTTTACTTTTTTTGTAAGTTTCCCCTTCGGATTTTATCAGATCGGATAAATTTCTTTTAAACCCAATTTTTTTATTTAAAAAATGAGTTATTGGCCGTTTTCTCTTTTTTTTAGTAGTTTTCTTCAGACTTTTATCAGGTTAGGTGAGGATTATAGGTGGATGATAGATGGTGGATGGTAAATGGTATATATAAATGATAGATAGATAATAATTTAATATGCAATTTTTAATAAAACGAATTAATAAAATTTAATCAATAAATTGTTATTATAAAAATTAAAATCAGCTAAATGTACAAAAATCGGTAATAATTATTAGGTTTATTAACAATCATCAATTTAATTTTACCAATTTGTTGCCAATTTTACTGATCGATTTGTTGACAAGTGGCAGGCGTTACAGTGCAAATCGTTTATAAAATTAGTTGCCGATTTTTTTAGTACTAATCAGCTAAGGTCAGACCAAATTTCGTCTAACATTCAGCAATTTAAAATTTTGCCAAAATGGACTATTCTGACCAGTACCCTTAGATTATATTACCGCATTTTCTGTTATTTTTCAACTAATAGAAGATGATACATGATATCCAAAAAATAAGTTAAAAGAAATAATTCATTAGGCAATTATAGTAGTAAAAAAAAATTATGATCAAACTTTGGAAAAATATCTGAAATTCGTTGATATTTCCTTGAAGGTTAGTAATTATTACTATTATTTATCAGATTTATAATTCCAAATGATGATTGCGCATAATGATATTTTCATATCAGCTGATTATTGGAATTGGACCTAAATTAAGACCCCAAATTACTTATTAAAATACATGTGATCTTGTAACCATTACACTACATCCATATGTCGATCACTTGATGTTCATACAAAAAAGCACCTGAAAAAAAAAATTATTAACAACTGTCACGTCAAACCCATCTCCCTTCTACAAAACCCATCTCTGCAAAAGTGTTTTATATGAGCTGTGCTGAGCATAATTTCCTTTAAACTATAGTTAATACATGCATTTTATTTTCATATTTTAAATAACATGAGTCAATCTATTGTTTCTGGTACTATTTTTTCGCCTTCAGTAACTGTTAGTTCAAGATTTGAGTGTAATATATGTGGGAAAGCTTTTAAAAATAAAGGAGGGTTAACAAGACATCTTAATACTGTTACAAAATACAATGATTTACGTTCAGACCTTGACGTTTTGCCACAAAATACTGTACAGCAATTTAAAGATATTTTAGTTCATTACATTCATAAGCGATTACCGAGAGGTTACAAACGATTAGGAAAACAAACAGTTTCAGTACCTGCTACTGAAAGCCAATTTTTTGCAGTATTCAAAAATTACATACATTATTATTCTACTACAAAAAGTATTTATAAGTGTATATTTCGTGGTGATTTATCAAATTAAGTATTGGCTAATATTTTAGAAATGCAATCATGGGGAGTCAAATATTATGATCAACAGCAGTGTACTTATGTCGTACTTTGTGATGATGATAATAATATTGAAAATGAGAAAAATCCCATTGCACAAGCCGCATCAACTTTTGAAATAACAAAAAAGTCACGTAAACTAAAATATGAACGTGGACAGTTAGTGGTGAAATGGAAAAAACAAAAGAATATTGATTTTAATGGTAATTTTACTCAAGCAGATCATATTTATTTCCATTTTTATAACAGCCAGGCTATGATTCAATAAAAGTAATAATAAAAAATAATTACTTTAATTTGACATGAATTTTTTAAGGTTTTGGGTAGTTTAAAGGGGTGTTGTTATGATTATAGAAGAGGGTTCGATTTTTGTGTTGTAAAATCTCAATGATTGCTGATGATTGAGATTTTTTTTTCCACCATCTTTTAATGTCTTACGAAAAAAATAAGATACATGCTCATGATTTTTTTTTTCAACACCACTACAGGAAAACGACTTTAATCCCCATTTCTGATGAATCATTATAAATTCAGAGATGTGATAGACCAATACATGAATGTAAGGTGTTATATTATCGGGTTGGTACAGGCCTTTTTTAAATCCTTGAGTGTTTGGAATGCCTTCGGAAGGTGTTAAAAACAAAGTAAGCCAATTTTTGGCATCATTTTGAAACTCTTCAGCATTTGTTAAAGGATCTTTCATTTTAATATAAAGCTCATAGAATTTATTCCATAGGTTTCATATCATATCAGCATGTGTTTTTGAAAGAATTATTGATAAATCAAAGAACTGCAATGCCTTAAGTTTATCATTCCTTATCAAAGAAGTGTAATTCCAAGCTTTAGAATCTTGATTCTGCCAAAATTGAAATTTGACTTTGATTCTTTCCATTTCTTTTATGATAATTTTTTGTGCAAAATCGTTGAATAAACCATATTCCATTAACTCTGCTATACCAAGACTCTATAATCGATCAGTAATTCGAAGCATTATATGTAATTCATCAGGAATTCAGTGATCAAGAGGTATCATATCAAAAAGTGGTTTTCGTGAATGACCTTTATAATAATTACTTTTTTCAACTAATTTACCCATTTCTTTATTAATATTCCATTTTTTAAATAGATCTCCTTGTTGTGATTTGCTGATTGTACACCAGGGACAGAAATTCTTACTGTGAACACCATTAAAACCTAAACAAATTGCTAAGAATTTCCAATTAAATGAGAAATATAATTGAAAATTCCATTTTATATTATTAATTAATAATCCCTGATCTTTTAAATTTTTTAAATCACGATAAAGTGGAGCTGTTATATTTAATAAAGATTCATAGTCTTCACAGCCAGGATAAAGTACAGTTGTATAATGGTAATTCGGTTGATTTAAGGTATGTTTATCATCTAAAATAGCTATAGTTATCATCACATGTTTGACTTTTTTTCTAACATTTCTCCCGTCCTCAAAAATCCAAAGATGAATTATTGGCTCATATGGATTTAAAATTTTTTTTTTGAACAAGATTAGGAATTAGATATTGCAAAATATCTTTAACGTTTCTATAGCCACCTTTACTAACTGCACCTACTACCTCTTGCACTATAAGTTCATCATCTATATCCACCTCTTCAGATTGATTTACTTGAGTTTCAGTATTCACATCCATTATTGATATTGGTATAAGTTGGGCCATTTTCTCATTTATTTTTTAGCGTTCTTTGGCTATTGCCCCTTCACGAGGTAGGTTGAACTCTATAGCACACAAATATCGATAAGTATCTCGTGAAATATTTCTTTCGTCTAACACCCTAATCATTGATTCATTTTTTTGTTTCTTTTTAGCTCTGTCTCCATCCCTATAGTTGACATCAAAAGTATGCTTTTTGACAGAATAACTGATACTTTCCAATACTGGTATATCTTCTGAATTGTAAAGTTTTGGCGCTTTTTCATTGAATTCAATTAACATTTGTTTTCCAATATTTGTAGTTCGCTTTGTAAGGATTGAATTGCCACATTGATTAACTTGCTTTAACATACCTGCATGTCATTTCTTTCTCTTACTGTATCTAATGTTTTAAGATGGAGGCCAAACAAATAAATGCCTGATGTTTTAGTTCCTTCATAAAAAGTGTATTTCTAAAATAATAAAAAAAAAATTAGTAAAATTAAAAAAAATAAAAAAATAAATAGAAAACTAATTATTAATATCCAAAATAACATACTTCATGAAATAAATTTGCAGCATTGATAGCTGATTTAGCTGAAGAAACTTCATATTCAAAATATTGCCCAAATTGGATTTAAAAAACTGGTTTATTTTCAATATAACTAATAGAACACTGAACAGTACACTGATTTTTGCTTCTACCCCAAGTTGTTTCTACTATATAGTCATTTGGAATCCGATATTTATTAGGACGGAGAGTATATGCCAGTGATGATTTACTAGGATAGACGCCTTCTTTTATAATTCTATATGAGAACTACGTCCCTTTTGTTTAAACTGAATAACTGGATTAAAAGGTTAGTTATGTATTTCTTGGTCAGCCATTTGCAAAAATAATGAATAAAACGCATACAATATTATTTGCGTGTGAAAAAAAATTCTGATTAAGTTAAATTTAAAACCAATAAAATGCTTGGATGTAGTATTACCAGTGTGTTACTGCAGTGTCAATTGTTGACTGTCATCATGGGGTTGCGTCTCAAAAATTGGAGTTAGAGTTAAGATCTGTACATATGTTATAACCAAATTAAATGAGTACCCATAGCCATATAAGTACAGGTTTAATCAGACATATTAATTCTTTAGACACATGGGAGTTGGAGCTTAGTTATAGTTTATGAAGAAAAAAATATAGCATTCATGTACATTGTCAATTGTATGCAGGCCACATATAGTTGATAATTTACTTGAAATATATTGATGGATATGCGCTGCATACATGATTCTAATATCAAAAAGATTAACTACATTAGTACTAATATAAGGCTTTTGCGTTAGTTTGATGATGCATACAAAAGTGTAAGTAATTTTAAGAATATCAAAGAATCAAAATAGAAAAAACCACTCATTAAAAATGAAATCAAGACAAACTTGCATGTGTTGAAAACTAATCTTAAAAATAGTAAAGCTCTGTATGCTTACTACTTTTGTAAATATTTAAAGAAAAAAAGTGCTTCAGACTTATCATGGCACATCCCACTTGCTAGTCAAGTGATTTATGCAGATTCAGAAATGGTGAAAACTTTGGAAGTAGAAGCATATAACTTTTTTATGGTGAGTAATTTAGCAAATAGTATTTTGTATTACCATAGTTCACTTTCAGCAAAGAGTATTATATTAATATTGTGATCCCATAGGATCTGGCGGAGCGTATAAAAATAACTGCTCCAGACCTTGTTAGAGATAATTGTGATTCCTTCGTTTTGAATTTCATAGACAGTATTACAGATGTCTCAAATAATAGACTTTTATATAATAAAAGTTGAAAAGAATTTAACGAAAAACTAGCAAAAGTTACATTAGGTATATTTGATATCTTCAGTAATAAGAACCTTAATGTATTATAATAATCATGTAGAATGTGGTTTTATTACATTTTTTTTGCATGTTTTTATTAACAATTAAATAGAAAGATTACAAAACATTCAATAACTTTATAAATATATTGTACATCCCATTTTATTGTACAAATAGAAATAATTTGGACCAATAAAATTGATTTATATATATATATAAAAAATAAAAAAAAAATCTGGTCTTCCGTGTCAAATCATGTGATTTTAAAAATAAAAAATAAAAAATTTAATTTGTTTAACCTAATATTAATAATTTTTTTTGCAATGCATTTGCAGTTTTATTAAAGTAAAAAAAATTAAGAAAATATATATTAAGTAAAATTTCCTAATAACACAAGTCAAAAAGTGAAAAATCAAGCATCAATCAATCACCAATCAGTTACCAATCAGGTAGCTGATTGGTGACCGATTGGTGACTGATTGGAATTTTTGCCAAATATTGTTACCAATCAGGCAGTTTGCTAATTTTTGATCCAGTGATCAGAAAAGGATGAAATATAATTCATTGGAATCGTCTTGACAAGACGAATCTAATGGTAGTAAAATCGCATTTCTAGGATTAATAGTTAATAAAAAATTAAATAAAATATAAATGATATATTTTTATTTTTATATTTTACTTAATTTCTCATCAAGTATTAATCCTAGAAATGCGATTTTACTACCATTAGATTCGTCTTGCTGAGACGAGACGATTCTAATGAGCTATATTTCATCCTTTTCTGATCACTGGATCAAAAGTTAGCAAACTGTCTAATTGGTGACAGTATTTAGCGAAAATGCCAATCAGTCACCAATCAGTTACCTGATTGGTAACTAATTGATGCCTGATTATTCACTTTTCAACCTGTGTAACTACTCTAAAATAATTAAACTACAAACCACTTGTCATACTGGCAGTACCTCATATATGTACTATTGAGTGATTATTTGACTCCATAGGTAGACTTTATTTAGTAACAGATTATCTTAGCTATAAAAGTTCTACTTTACTAAAAATGGCCAATTTTTTGAAATGATTTTGTAATAATTTTAAAATACCACAAAAATACATTTAATACATCAAAATGTTTTTATTATATTTTTGTTATTATTTTGTAATTACAGTCAACTCCCTCTATAG